GCAGGTCAAAAAAATGTTTGTTTTAAAATTAAAAACGACAATGTGAGTACAGAATATTCTCATGTGGATAAACGTTTTTAAAATTGTCAAATATGGAAATTTGGAAGCCATAAAAATAAATAAAAATTACATATTTATTATTTTATTGTGGGATAATAGTATATTTTGTTACAAGGAATAGGAAAAGAACTTTTAATTTAATCCTAGAAGCCTCACATAGCCAAGGATGTGCAAAATGGAAGACCAACCCAGCCAGCCTATACATAACCACCACAAATTCAACCTGACCCAGCAGCACCACAAGTTTTCAAACCCCCACAACCTATGGCGACACCAATATATATAAAAATCTTCAACCTCCTTTTAGATCATCATTCCAGAACTATTAAAAAACATTATTTATTTAGCCAAGAACAAATTTAAGACCTTTAACATTTAAACCACAGCAGAGAGAAATCAACTGGGCAGCAAGGCCTGTCCCATCGAGTCAACCCAAGCCAACAGCTATGAGTATATTAACTTAAGACCTCCAACATTTAAACCACCGCAGAGAGAAAACGATTTGACAGCAAGACCTATCCCATCGGGTTATGCTAAGCCAGTGGTCGCTAACCTCTCAATGTGTTGAGCTACTTTGTTAATTTTGGAATAAACAGCGAGCTACCCACACGGAAGCCACGTAACCCAACGTAAATGAAATAATCCACAGTTAATTTATCATTATATGTATTTATTTTACTATTTAACTGGTAATACATAATACATAGGTACTAATAATCAACTAATAACAAAATTACTAATATTACTAGTACGTACTTGTTCATAGCTACATTCCTACCTACCAAACGAAGGTGTTTGAAAAATAAACACAAACTTTTATCCAGTCACAACGGCATGTCACGTAAGATTTAAAAATAGTTAATAATAACAACAAAAAGTAACGCACTATCATGAACATAAACATTGAAAAATAAAAAAGCACGTTCAATGAGAAGGCTGACACTCAGACTCATCGATAATTTTTTTAATGTTTGCAGTATAATTTGATACAGCCATTCGAATACAATTATCCAAATGTTCATCTGTAAGTCGATTGCGATATTTGTTCTTAATAAACTTCATATTGGAAAAAGAAGATTCACACAAATAGGTTGAACTGAATAATGCTTTCACTTTCAAGGCAACTCGGCATAGAACTAAATATTTGTCTTTACTTACAATAGGCCAGATACATTTGGTACTTGAGACTAACGATTTTAAGGCTAAATCATTTTGAAACTCTTCGCCAAAGTTCTGCATATCACAAGTTGCAAACTGTTGGATATCAATTTCCATAAAGGGTGAAACAACAAACTGCGCTACTAAAGCTATTTCGTTGAAATCCTTAAAACGATTTTTTAAGTTATTCTTCAAGATAGAAACTATTTCTACACGATATTTGCTGTCATAGGGTTCTAATGGATTTTGAGATATTTTTTCTAAAAGAATAGGAAAATGCTTGGCATCGCTGTTAATTAGGTTTTGTTCCGCTTTTTGATAAATGCTTTTATATCAGAAATCATTTCCGCTAGTTCTTTGTCTCTCCCCTGAAGCTGCAAATTAAGTTCATTTAATTTCTCTGTAATGTCCACGAGAAAACCAAAATCTCTAAGCTAGATTGAATTTTCTAGTTCCGGAGTCGGTTCATCGCGTTGTTTGAAAAATTGAACTATGCCAGATAGGACATCATTAAAACGTTTCAGCACCCGTCCTCTACTTAACCATCGGACTTCAGAGTGAAGGAGCTCTAATTTTGTTCACAATTTTTACCACCAGTTTCATAACGTTGTTTAGTTTCAGGAAATGTCCACATAATGCTTGCTGATGGATAATGCAGTGGTAACAGGGAAATTGCGGAAAAGTTTCATCTTTACTAACGTCACCAGACCCTTATCACAACCCACCATAGCTGGAGCGCCATAGGTTGTCAAGCCTACCATTTTCGATATTGGAATTTTCTCGGAAGAAGTAATATTTTTTAAATGAGAAAACAACTCCTGTCCAGTAGTGTGTCCTTTTAGTGGAATAAACTTCAAAAGGTCTTCTTTAATCGTAAAATCACTAAAAACCATCCTGACGAACACGTCCATCTGGGCAGTGTCAACGACATCTGTTGATTCATCCAGTTGAAGTGAAAAATAAACACAGTTATCTAAGTCAGTTCTTAACTGTAAAAAAATATCATTGGTCATTACTTTTACACGTCTCATCACTGTATTAGCAGAAAGTTGCATAGATTTTATAGCTGAAACTATCTCGTCTTTATTTCTTAAGTTGGCAAATAACGAATCAGCAGGTTTCTAAAAACGCCTGTTTTATCATTTCCCCGTCTTCATAAGGTTTCTTTTTTTGTGCAATTATCTGGGACACACGGTACGATGCTTCAGTTGCAGCCTTATTTTTGTCGACTGTTCTTAAAAATATTGATTGTTGTCCAGTTAACTGCTTTTTTAACTGTTTCAGTTTCTCTTTTCTGGCGGCAGAATCTAGTGGGAATGATTTTTCAAAATTAGAATGTACAGCTTTATGATGTCTCTCAATATTTCCTTTTTTAGCAACGGAGACCGAAGTATTACATAACAAACACACATTTTTATCTTTAACTTCTGTAAAAAAGTATTGTTCTTCCCAATCCGAATGAAAGTGGTATGTCTTTACCTTCTTACAACTGCTTGCCATAATATTATTTTTTGTTGTTCTCTACTAACCCAACCGCTGGACGTTGGTTACGCGTTCAGTTTTAAACTAAGCGCAATGTCACCGCGTCGTGCGTATTTATCCCGTTCAAAGCAATCCTGATCGTTCTCGAACACTAACGCGCAGGTCCGGCTGGTCGGTTCTAGCCGATTCTAGCTTGATGGCGTCAGCTGCAGATCGCTCACCGCAACGTTGCCGCTGTTTATGTTTAATATTAGTTTTTTTTTGTGGAATTTTCGGAAGCTTCTCTGATTTTTACAGTTTGTATTTTTTAAATTAAAATCGTTGTGAGAGCTACCACTCGCGATCGACAGGTTGGCGACCACTGTGCTAAGCCAACAGCTATGAGTATATTAACAACAGCAACCAATAGAAGTCGACCAATGAACCCAGAAGTTTTTACAGAAGAACAGCCTGCATGCGAACAAGGATACCATTATGAAGAAGAAGAAAATCTTCAAGAACTAAGAGAAAACCCCGAAACATAATCATAAAAAAAGAACTGCACTTCATCGAAATTTCTGAATCCCCTCTTAAACGCCTAATAGACTAATCAACTGGATCAACCAAATCTCAAAATAGCCTCCCAATGCTTCCAAAGCTATATCAAATATGAACCATTTGTCTTGACTACAATTTTTCAAAGTTATGCACATAATTATAGTACTTAAATACCTTATTTCAAATAACAGTTTAAAATTTACCTTTTTATATTTCACAAGACATCTGATTGTCCTATAGGCCTCGACAACCTGAAACTCCTTCAAACTCGACTGATTTTGCCAGAATCCAAACTGATACCCAAAAATTCGATCATACCCATCCAATATTACGAAACGAATAAACCACACTCAATTACACGAGTCCGACTATCTGTCAAAGAAGATCAAGGAACCAACCTGATACCCAAAAGTACATTAATAACGCTTAAATAGAAGAGATCAACAAGTTTGGTCAAAAATTTTAAATCCTACACCTGTTTTAATCCAATTAGCCCTTCTGGAACCAGTAAACTGTCGAAGAATACCACATATACTCCATGAAAACATCTCTATAACAAAACTCGAAACAAGTCCGTTTACATTTTTGTAAATGAAGTCAAATATCAAATCAAAAGAAAAGTTGAATTACCAGTCTATACGAAGTCCTACAGATATCCATACAATCACAAAGAAGAAGTCAGAAACTAAATTTCCTGCATGTTAGAAGAAGGGATTATAAGTCCAAGCCAATCCCAATGGTCCTCTTTAATTTGGATTGGTCCCAAAAAAACCCAATGCTTCAGGTTAAATCAAATGACGTATCGTGATTGACTACAGAAAGATGAATGACAAAATAATCGACGCCCAGTATCCCATGCGTAACAACAAGGATTTCATCAAATAGAGATGGCAAAGGAATAATCACAAAGATAGTTTTTAAGAATGTCCTTTGGCCTCAAAAATTCCAATGCAACATTTCAGTGAGTCATAGACAATGTTCCAAAAGGACTGCAAGGAGAAATATGCTTGGTATACATAGATAACCTAATTGTATTTTTATCGTTCTAGCACACATGGTAAATTTGGCAAAAATGTTTCAACCAAACTATAAATTTAAATAGACAAATGCGAGTTCCTAAGAAAGAAAGACATGTTGTTATTCCAAGAGAGATTAAACCCAATCCTGCAAAAATTCAAGCTATTGTCAACTACCCAACTCCAAAACCAATCAAAGAGATTCGCAGATTCCTAGGTCTTCTTGAATACTATCGGAAATTTATCAATGACTTTACTAGGATTACAAAGTAGTTGATCAAATGTCGACAAGATTGAACATTCTCAAGAGTTTCTTTAATCCTGCCAAATTCTTTGCAAAAAAATTATTAAAAATTGTAGATAGAGAACAGAGCTAGGACTCTAGTGTTCTTGTTTATAAACTGGAGCTTATATCGCCTTCAAATCTAAAATTCTTGAATAAAAATGCTCAATACGTTTACTGTCTTGCGCATAACTTAAATTTAGTTATTCATAATGCTATCAATAGACTTCTAGAGGCAAAAATATTTATGATTTGTCTATCATTATAATTTTAGTACCTAGGTGTATAATTCTCATGAACCAAACGACATACATTGATTTGTTTCGTACGTTTTTCAGTGTATAATTAGTAATAGTAAAGCATTTATATTAATGTCACTAAAATGTTGATACATAAAACAAATTCATTGAATTAAATTTTAAAGAAATGTTTATAGAAATATCTTGACATAAAAATATACTTACAACGATATCATAACTTTCGATCCTGGCTATAATACCTTTCAGTCGTTCTTTATCTTGTTTGTGTTTTAAACTTGAATTTACATTATTAACAAAATCGTCAACCATCTTTATCTGCAACAAAATTAAAAAATATTAAAAGTCATTAAAATTTAATACTCCCAGTTTGTTAAACAAGTATAATAAGTATAAAATTATACCCACCATTGTTTGTAAATTTTCCTTTTCGACATCTTCGTCCGTATTTTTTAGAATTGCTTTTAAAAGAAGGCCATATTTTGTCAGTCGTTGCATAGGTTGGACTAATATGTCCATAAGTCGTAATCTGTAACAAAACATAAGATAATTAACTTATTAAATGAATATTAGCATCCAATATGTCAGAAAGATTGTTTGATTCAGAGGACTGAGCAAAAATATCGGCCAATATAAAGATGTTTGAAAAATAAATTTATCTGTTTGGAAGGTAAGTGTGTAATTGACTCACGGGTATCAGGAAAAATATCGCCAATTATATGTAAATTTGTAAATTGGTAGTAATTAAATGGGTATTATTAAAAAAGAGTACCCAATCCAAATTTCATACTCAAACCCCTTTTTTGCCATTGGCGTAGAATTTTTAAAGGTGCAATTATTTAAAAAATCAAGTTCTACGCCTATGTATTATTATCGGACAAAATTTTATACGATGAAAAACATAAAAATGTACTTTTTTCATATCTTCTTCAACACCTCTAATCGAGACTTTTAACAAAAATACTCGATTCTTGCCAAGAACGATTTTTTGAGGAATATTAATTATTTGACTGTAATACGTATACAAAAACATTTATTGTTGGTTTCCATAGTTTCATCTAAATAAAAATATTGTCAAGTTTTAACACCTAATCTCTTGTTAACGATTGAAAGTGTTCTATCTGACTCAATAATTAAAAAAACAAATGCGTGGTTTATTAATATGGCTGTACAATATACCAATGCAGAATATACCGATATGTTACTGACATTAGGATTTTGTGAAGGAAATGCTCGAGAGAGTGTCAGGGTGTACTCTGAAAGGTTTCCAAATCGTCGTGTACCTAGCCACCCAACTTTTGCTGCTGTTGAGAGACGTCTTCGGGAGACCGGTTCCTTTGCTCCCAACACTGTTGATAATGGAAGAGAACGTTTTGTAAGGATTCCTGAAGTTGAAGAAGACATTTTAGAACGTGTTGAAGAAGATCCAGAATTAAGCACCAGACGAATTGGAAGGGAACTAGGAGTAAGTAAAGATGTCTTTCATAAAGTGCTTAGAGAACAATTGTTATATCCATACCATAAGAAGTCAATACAAGAATTATTAGTCCATGATCCTCAAATTCGTTTGGGTTTTTGTCGATTTGTTAATATGTAAGAGATCCAAACTTTGTCAAAAAGGTTCTCTTTACCCATGAAGCGGGTTTTACAAGAAGAGGTATAACTAATACCCATAACCCAACTAACAAAGTAGCTTTATAATTTTTAGTTTACAAGACTATTATATTTTATTGATATTATATTGCTGTTTCTGGAATGCTAATTTATTGTACTACAGTTGCAGAAATCACTATTTTGTTCTCTGAAACTAAATAGTTATATAAATTAGTTTTTACAATATTCTTACAGCAAAATTATAAAATAGTTTTCACGATAACTATGAAATTGTTACATAAACATTTATACAACTGTTCTATACAATATTTCAGCTTATAAAATAAAATTGCTTTATAGTTATTCTATATTATTGTTCTGGATTACCTTTAGAACTTTTTGGTCATACAAATATAACTGTTTCTTAACCTCATAATAACGCTTTAAAAAATAGTTATATAAATATTAGTGTGAGATAATTCCGCATCAATAGCAATTTGCTTCTGATGAAAACTCTAAAATAACTGTAATATATTGTCGAAATACACTATTACAAATCAGAAAACTGTATAGCAATTATTTTAGTTAAGAATAGTATTATCCCTTTAAAAATATTTATAAAAAAATAAAGCAACTACATTTGGTAGTACCTACGCCATATTATTTTTGTATTTTATGTTTGTTCAACTACTTCCCATACCAATTGTATGTGAGTGTATGGTCTGAAAATGTCAGATTTAAATAGTGAAGAAATATAAAAAATAAGTGGTACCTGCTTTTCAGAGAACAGTAAAAAATATTAGTAAAACATTTTGATAGTTTGTCTAGACACTCAAAAAAAAAACTATCATTTAGCCAGATAATAATTAGGTATGTTCTGAATAATCATGCCCCAATACTAAAAGAAAGCCATATTTTTGGCGATGTCCATGTTAAATTTGCTTATTCTCGTAATATTAAAAATTATGCTTGCTCTATAAAGCTGTAGAAACAAATCTAATCATTTCAATTCCCAAATACTTAAATCGGAAACGATTTAGTAAGGTTATGTTATATTTTGTCATATAGTGCAGCAATATGAAACTATTATACAACCAGGGCCGTGCCTGACGGGCGTTCATTGCGTGCACCGCACGCAGGCGGCCGAAATTAAGAGGCGGCCAAATCGTTACAAGTTGTTTACTGGGCAAAAATACAATCGGTTTGTTTTCATTAAGATACGAAGTAAAAACAGTTTCTCTAATCTAATCTATCTAAAAAGAGTTTCTCAGAAATAAGAAATGTATAAAAACTGATTAGGTCGTTGTAGTATTTATATACCTAGTCATGCAGCGAATCCGAATTTTTTCGAACATTGCACGAGCGACGAGCCGAAATAGTTTTTTCAATTGACCGGCGTCGCGTAAGCGGTCTTATTCGTCTTATTAGTCGTATTAGTCTATAGACTAGCGAGGATAAATCGTTATTTGTGTCCTGTGTGGTGAAATTTAATAAAAAGTTTATTTACTCGACAAAGACTGAAAAAGGTAATACACAAAAAATGTAAAATTAGGGTAGACTTTCACTTTTGGGGCCCGGGAAAATTTGGCGGGTCTTTTTGGAGGGAAAAGGCCGTTTGATATGAAATTCTTAAATAAATATTAAAAAATATTTAATAATATTAAAAAAAAAATTAAATAATAATTAAAATAAATAATAAAATAGCGCAATTTAATATTAAATTACTTAAAATCTATAATTAATGTATATTTTAATGCGCATAGGATGACACGATAAGAAAATCATTTATAAGCTTTTTAAGTAAAACATATTTTTAAACATAAATATGTCAAGATTTATTTTGAAAATTTTGGGAACAAAACCAATATTTTTTTTCGTTCTCGATTTCGGTTAACCAAAAACTGATTTTTTTCCCGGTTTGATGCCCTGTGTATAATAATAAACATTAAAAATTAAAGTAGTTTTTTTTAATGTTATCCTGGGGGCGGCCATACAGACTGGCACGCAGGCGGCCATATACCCAGGCACGGCCCTGTATACAACAAACCATGATGAACTTGTTTTGTAGAAATGAGTAATACAACTTAATTATTGTATTACAGCTGTTTTTACTACAATAATATTTTATAATTATGATTCAGTCTTAAAATAACTTTCTAATACCTCTGAATAGCCGCCATATTTAACACAAACCTAAGACAGTTTTAAAGCTAAATCTACTGTCGGTTTTACTAGTATTTAAGACAAAACCAATGTTAATTAAAGATTTTAATCATTAGTAATATTAGCATAATCTTATTACTAAAAAAAATCAAATTGCATAAATTTAATTTTTGTTTCACACTGAAAAAGTATTAGAAATATGAATCAAACTCGAGGCGCTTAAAAATTTAGTATTGTATGTGCTATATAATTAACAGTAATTCTTGCTGCGCATCCAAAAACGACTTTATTGTAGGTCATACATTATGTCTAAACCGCGTTATAGATATCTCTTAAGTAGATACTGCCATTTTACTAATATCGCGTTGAATTTACTTTTATGACAAATATAGAATTAATTTGTTTTCACCAGATACATTTAAAAAACTAAAATGTTACTGATTTTGATATGCAACCTAACCTCAAAATTGAAAATTAATAAAACAGTTATAAAAGTTTAAAAAAACATTTGTTTAGAGTTTGTGTAAATGTGTAGTAACTGTTCGGTAACTGCATTCAACAAATCTTATAGAATTTACAAAAGAACCAAATAGTTCTGTAATACTGCGCCCATTTTGTGTTTATTACTGTTGAAAGAATGTTCTGGAAATGTTCTTAGCTAATATTCTATTTTATAAATTTTGTTCTGTAAACATTTTTTCAGCTTTTATAAAATATCAAATTGTTACTTGGGAATGAACATGTTTATGCCGTTGAAAATCCGCATGCAATAAAGGTATACCATTTTCAGCACGAATTCAAAATTAATGTGTGGGCTGGAATAATTGATAATTTTATTGTTGGTCCTGTCATACTTCCACGAAGATTAACTGGAGAAAATTATTTGGATTTTCTACAAAATACGTTGCCAGAATTGTTGGAAGATTTACCTCTCCAACTTCGGAGAGATATGTGGTTTATGCAAGATGGAGCTCCAGCACATTTTTCTTTAAACGTTAGAAACCACTTGAATGAACAATATCCACACAAATGGATAGGCAGGGGTAATGACGCACCTGTAAACTGGCCACCACGTTCTCCAGACCTAACACCGATGGATTACTTTTTATGGGAACATCTAAAATCCACAGTTTACAGGAAACCTGTAGAAAATAAGGAACAACTCTGGTAACGTATTCAAGATGCAATAAACAATCTTAGAGGTGATGAAGAAGTTATGGAAAAGATACATTTTAATTTTCTTCGACGTATAAATCTTTGTATGTGTGAAAATGGTGAACATTTTAAACAATTTTTGTAAAATCTCTATTTTGATTATGTTGTAAATAAATATTTATGTGAAACCTATACACTCTAAATTATTAAAACAGAAATTTAGCGAAAACCATGAGAGTAATCGAGTCTTATCAAGAGTACCTTTTTTAAAGTAAATGAGTTGCGCAATCTAAATTTCATACTGAAACTCCTTTTCTTCCATTGGCGTAGAATTTTTAAAGATGCAATTATTTAAAAAATCAAGTTCTACGCCTATGTATTATTATCGGACAAAATTTTAATACCATTTTTTTTGCCACATAAAACTCTACCAATATACCAAATTTCAGCAAAATCGCATATGCCGTTTTAAATTTATGTGGGAAAAACGATTTAAAAATTGTAACTTCAAGGCCCTCTGGAGCCCAAACGAAGCAACTCTAAGGAATATGTGGTATGTTTTTGTAAAGACCTTTTAAAAAAACCCTGTATAAATGTGAATTTTACCTGTTACATTCCTTCTGGCTTTCGCACCATGTTAAGTAAGCAGTAAACACTTCGCTGTCAAGGTTTTCTCTACAGTAATGTTGACATCGAGACTGTTCCGCGCAATATTTGTAGTAGGGCTGAAAAATATCCTGAATGCTATGGAATCCTTCCAACATATTTTCTATGCAGGAAGATCGCTTATATTTTCGCATATCTCGCACCAACGGGAACAGAGTATTTCGCCAGAAGACAACATTCGCATCCAGGATCTCAGTTATATTAGAGAAAAGTTTGTCAGTGTCGATTTCTTTTAATAGATTCCGTGATTGAAGATCTTTCAGACAAGCCAAGAAAAGCTATAATAGAAAATAGTAGTTAATAGAAATAATAATTATATTAAAAAAAGTCATACAAGTAATATTATAAATCTTAAGACTTCTGGGTATCTATTCTTGAATATCGGGGAGTAGAAATTTTGAGGGATGAATGAGACAAAAATACAAATTTTGTGTGTTGTAAATGAAGAAGAAAAACCGGTTTTCTATTCCCCTGAATTAAAGAATAGCTACCCTGAGCCGTTACCTTAGATTAAAGAGACCGAAGATGTAACATTGCACACTGCGCATGTTGTCTATTTTAAGCCAAAGTAACCCACCAATTGAAAATCATTGTTGCACGACGCCACCCGAATTGCTCCGATTTCCATTCAGCGATCACATCCACCTGAGTTTAATCACCATTGACAGCTGTTTTTTGATTTATTTGTTGGTATTTTAGCAATTTAAAGTGTTCTAGTTATTCAATTTCAAGTTCAAAATGTCACGATGTATCTTGAAAAATTGTATGTACTTATAATACAAGTACTACTGTTATGAATATATTCGTTTTCAGCGGTAAATATTTATTAACGTTTTGACATAAAGCGCCATGATTCTCTGGGCTGAATACTTCAGATCCGCATTAAGGGGTTTCAATAAATATTAAGCATCAGAAATCAGATTTCATATTACTTACATAAATTTACAAAAGGGTAAAATTTTGAACATTTAATTTAAATAAATAGTAAATAGGCATTATTGCTAACGAAATTTTGTATTTAAAAAGTATTTTTATAAGAATATTAGATGAAATACAGGATGACCTACTTAAAATTTCAAGGTTCATCTTATTTGCGGTCAAATCGAAAGTGACATTGAATTTTCAGTCTTAAAACAAAGTAATCTAGTATAAGCCCAAAAAAAAAAATACTAAAGTTACAGGAGTTAGGTCCGATTCCACCGTTGTGTTAAACGGAGATTAAAATGACAGTGTTAATGTAAAAATGTCATTTTAAACTTCGTTTAACACAACGGTGGAATCGACCCTCAGTCACGTTAATAAAATGTTACATTACAAACCCCTAAACAACTCGAACATAATTTTCGTTTACTAAAAAAAATCCAAAATTTAGCAATATTTATTTATTATACAATCGAATGCGATTTCAAAGATAACTGGATCAAAAAATCCGAATCTCTAAATTTTGAAGCTAAATGCTCAGATAAAAGCAAGCGACCGATATGGGTTACAAAAATAATCGATTTATCGATAATTCTGATATTTTTTAATGAAAATCGATTTATCCGCTGTTTTTAATAAATTATTTTCGTTTTTTTTTAAGATAATGTATTAATCGATTTTAAAGGAAATACAAAAAAAGTAGATTTATTCAAAATAATCGATTTATCGTTTAATCGGTTTTTTAATTATTTGATTATTTTCGATTTTTCGAAGATATTATATAAAAATAATCGATTGAATATAATCGGTTATTTTATATATTCGATATTTTTGTTATTTTTTTAAAATTATCGATTTATTGGATAATCAGCTTTTTAATAATCAATTATTTTCGATAATCGAATAATCAATTTCAAAGGAAATATGAAAAAAGGATTATTAGAAAATAATAGATAATTCGTTTTATTTTTTGGAAAATCGATTTATCATAGAATCGGCTTCTTAATTAATTGGTTATTTTCGATTAGGCGATTATTTTGGAATTATTGATTATTTTTGGTATTTCAAAGATAATCGAATTATCGATTTTAAAGGAAATACAATAAAAATAGATTATTGATAATAATCGATTGATCGAAAATAATCGATTATTTAAAATAATCGATCATTCTGTTTTTTTTTTGAAAATCGATTTGTCAGTTAATCGACTTTTTAATTAATCGATTATTTTTTAAATACAATAAAATAGATTATTGGTAATAATCGATTTATCATAGAATTGGCTTCTTAATTAATTGATTATTTTCGATTAGGCGATTATTTTGGAATTGTCGATTATTTTCGGTATTTTAAAGATAATAGAATTAACGATTTTAAAGGAAATACAATAAAAATAGATTATTGATGATAATCGATTGATCGAAAATAATCAATTATTTAAAATAATCGATCAATCTGTTTTTTTTTTTAAATCAATTTATCAGTTAATCGACTTTTTAATTAATCGATTATTTTTGATTATTCGATTATTTTCGATTTTTCAAAGATTATCGAATAATCTGTTTCCATGGACGAAAAAAAATGGTTTATTTGAAAATAATCGATTATTTAAAATAAACGATAATTCCATTTATATTATATTTTGTAAACACTGATTTATCGGTTAATTGGCTTTTTAATTAATCGATTATTTTTGATTTTTCAAAGATAATCAAGTAGTCGATTTTAAAGGAAATGACAAAAAATATATTGTTTGAAAATAATCGATTGATCGAAAATAATCGATTATTTTCAATGATCGATAATTTATTTCGATAATCACTCATCCCTAGCGACCAAATGACTTTTAATAGATTTAAATTTTAAAATGTTATCTGGTTTCAGACATATGCATTTCTAGAGTTTTATGTGACTCATCCTTTATAATAATTAATATTCCTAAAGAAAGAAGCCTTAACATACCTTTTTCTGAGGTTATAATACAAAACAGCATTTTCTCATTTTGACTAATTTTTATTATTATGTAATAGCCGTAGAAAAAATATAATGTTCAACTCATAAGGGTAGATTTGCAGTATTAGCCTGCGCACATGCTATTTTTATAATACTCGTAGACAATGAGTAACATTTTTTGCTCTATTAACAATATATTCTATTTCAACATTTTACTGTAATCTCTTGCAGAAAAGTCCGTAGTAAATAAACGCTAACGAAATATTCTATAAAAGGTCTTCTCTTTACATAAAATGTCGTGGCATCTGTTTGATATTAAAAAATCACGTTAATAATTTTATTTCATAATACAAAATTCGATTAAACACCTTTTAAATAAACCTAATAGTTCATTAAGATGCTAATAAACAAAGTCCGGTCCCTGTCACAGAGTTCGGGTCGCCGCGTGTCGCCGCCCAGTTCCCCCACTCCGTTAACCCTTCTTTAGAAAATGGCAACATTTGCGCAGGTTTAAAACCGGTGTATGTTATATCTCTGGTCTCTTTTATCTAAGGCCGTAACATATCTAAGACACAAATAAAAAACGCGTGTTTCAACCCCTGGAACTATCAAAATTAGACTTAGAAATCCCGTATCCAGATAATTCACTAATTCAATTAAAATCTCTAAAGCTTAACAGTGTTAACTTAGACGAAATTAAGACTATAAAAAACTTGAAAAATATATATATTTTGTCTGGAACTCCATATCTCAGATGCATATTCAAGTTTCGATCGAACCAAGCTGTTATATAAGATTTTGGATGTTGACATATCTGAAAATTCTTTGCAACTTCTTATGACAAACCCTAGTGTTTTATTGGCAGATGACACCATTGATTCAATGTGTTTAGTGAAGGTAAGTTCAGGAACAAAATATACCCCCATACCTCTTACAAACTCAGGTCTATTGAGAATGCAAATCTATAATTAAAAGTAAAACCAGTTAATCGCCTGGTAAAAGACATAACAGAACATTTTTCTGGATTCAATGGCATTAAACTATCCTGACACCAATCCCCTATACCATCCAGACACTTTTGTAAAAGTTTGCAGCCATTCATTGAACAAACTTTTAGATCATCTGCATACATTAAGACCTTTATATTATTGATATTTAGAACAATATCATTCAAAAATATATTGAATAAAAGAGTGGTACTGCTGATAACTGCTGGAATTTTTCTTATAACCACGGCATTGGACATACTGATGTCTGTCTTGTAAGTAAGAAGTTAACAGCAGATGTAGCTCCGTGCTTAAACCTACGGAGGAAAGTTTTTTGAGTAAGATGGTATGGTTAATTATATCGAAAGCTTTAGAAAAGTCAATGTTTATTATATCTACTTGACACTTTTGATCTAAAGGCTCTGATATAAACTGTGTGAGATAAATAAGATTTGTTACCGTGGATCTGCCTTTCATGAATCCGTGTTGATCTGAGGATATAGAACGGGAAATATTGTTTGATAAATGATCATGAAGAACGAATTCTAATATCTTAGCAAAGTTACATATAATACTAATAGATCTATAATTTTGAACATGATTTTTATTGCCTTTTTATGAACTGGAGTTACACGAGATATCTTCCATTCACTAGGGATAGTGCAAGATTTTAAAATTTTATTAAAAATTGTGTGTAGAGGAGTTGTAAAAATGTCTGCACAATCTTTAAAAATAAAGGCAGGTAGCAGATCAGGCCCCATTGTCATATTTGGTTTCAATTCTTTAATAGCCTTGACAATTTCGTCTTATTATATTGATTTTATGTATAGCGTCGGAAAATTTGAAGTCCATTCATTTGCGTAGTTGGTAGATGCTGACTCAGAAGAACTATTAAAGAAATGATCTGCAAAAGCATAGACGATTGCTTGTGGGTCTTCTATAAAGCAGTTTTTCTTCTCAACTGATGAAGAAAACTTCTAATTTCTCTTTTATCTTTTGGTTTAGGCCAATCTTTGATAGCGATAATTTTCTCCGGATCAGTTGCCAAAAGCACATTGCCCGATCTAGTGGAAGAAGAAGATGAAGAACTAGAATAAAATTTTGTTTTCGAATTTCAGCTTAAAGTAGCTATCTCCTATAATTTTTGTTCATATTTTTAATAAAAAATAATTCAAACCTGTTTATTTTTATATAAAAAAATGTAATTAATAAGTAGATAGATTATGAAAATCAAACGAGATTAAGAGTATAAGTCAATGGTGGTAGAAATATTTATGTTATGGTTTGATTTGAGATTAGCACAATTTACACATTTCAAACTAGCAGAGTTACAATCTTTTACATCGTGATTGGAGGCACATTTGGGACATGTAAGGTCCTTTTTACTGCATTGATTTGTTAAATGGTGAAGACCCCAACAATTAATACACCTACGTGGTTCCATGTAGCTATTTTAATTGCAGTAGATGTTTTCAAAATGTATAAGAAGACATTTAATCGACCTTCCCAAAACGAAGAACCCCAGGAGGAGATAGCACGAAATCCTTTCCTTATCTCAAGGATTTCTCACTAAGGATAGAGAAGTTATATTCCTAGAAATACATTGTACATATGCTTAGTTTGATTTATTTACCTTAATAACAGAATGCGAGTGCAAATCTGTGAATTTGCTTCAACATTAAGTTTTGTAGTACAGTAGAAGTCAAAAATATTGTTATTTTTTTAAAAATAAAGTTTTTTTTTAATCCTAGAATCATTTAACTCGCCCCTGTCTCATTTAATGATTCTTTTTATTGACATAATCTTTTTCTATAAAAGAAAAAACTCATTTTACATCAAACAAAACTTCCTTTACAAGTAAAGGTTAGTACTTTTTATTTGTTTGGTAATTTGCTGATACTTACATTTGTTACGACTTTTAAAGTTTTAATATAAGCAACTTCTGTTTTGATTAGTTCCCATAGGGCCGTTTGTTGCTGTTGCTGTTTTTCGTTGAGATCTGAAACGAAATAATAAGAAATAAGAAATAAAATTTGATTTTAGGATTGAAGAAAAAAATTATAAGCAGTCATTTAAAGCACCAAATTGTGTTTGAAAGGGTCATTTGGAGAATTAAGTGTGATAACATTTTACAGTTATGGTTTACAGATTTCTGTAAATTTTTAATTATGTGCTGCTTTCAAACTTTAAGTATTTTTTGACAAAAGAAGTTGAATATTCTTGTTGACCTCTTTAAATTGTTTATTTTACCTCATACATTTTTTTTTCTACTCTTTACACAGTATTATGTGAAGAGTATTATAGGTTTACTTTGTCTGTCTGTCCGATGTCACGATAAGTCAGAAACAAGAAATGATATCAACTTTAAAATTTTAATCAAAAATCAAGCTTTATAAGGGGACAAAGCCTATTGATTTTTAACAAATCTGATTAAAAATAGGGGGTTAAGATAAGTTGTAATTAAAAAAAAAATTCTAAATTAAAAACGAAAAGAGATATCAACATAAAGTTTTTAGTAAAAATGAAGCTCTATAAGAAGATAAAGCCTATTGATACTAAAAAAATCTTATTTATAAATAGTTGTAGTGCTTAAAAATAGTATGATGTTGATAATAATAACTACACTTAATACAAACTCAAATAATAAAAAAAACAGCGATATTGGCTTTTGTAAACAGTTTTGAATCAAATTATTGGAAAAAGTAAACACCCTTTTTAAATTATTACAAGCCGCCACTGTTTCTTAGATATATACGCTGAAGAAGAATTATTAGAATCCAATTAAAATATCAGAATATTATTTCTTTTAATTCCTCTTTCCGGTACTTCAACTATGTTTGTTAATAACATATTGTGATGTTTGTTTACTTTAAAACGACAGTTTATTAATTATTAATTTATTTAGACACTTATTTATTTTATAACACAACTATTCTAATTTATATAAACTTCGACTGTCTTTAAACTGATCACTATTTATATTCACCACTGTCTATCTACTAATTACTATTTATCTTCACTGTCCATATAACAACTGATCCTGATGGCTCTTCTCCACCAATTTATAAACAAATTGGTGGTCTAGAATGCTCCCCCACCAAAATTGCCAGTATGTACCAGAAACGTTATCACGTTCTAGAAATAGTATCTCGTTGACTCTGGAATGTTCGCGAAAGTGTCTCCACCATAGTCGTCCCTTAGTTTTGGTCTTAAGGGGTTTAATTATGTATAATAATCGGACAAGTTGAGCCTCAAAGGCCAAATAAGACAGAGAGGGACTTGTAGGGTTAGAACATGACTGAATAATGAAATGGCTCACATAACAATATTTTCAACTCTAAATTATTAATATTGTCTTTCATGCCTTCTATTTTTAATGCCAATCTAATTTCTGATGCTTCCATAAAATATTGTATTTCATTTTTACTTTTATCAATCTCTTCTCGTAGTAATTTTAATTCTTATTCATCCATAACATTTAATTATTTTCCAATAGTAATAATTTGTAGTGTATGGTCTGCCATAATTTCAATGTTTTGTGTTTTTATGCAAGCAAGTATGATAACGAAATGATATTCTGGGTTTGCTATATCTTTTTATATTATATTTATTTATATACAGTGTGTCTGTAAAAGGTCTTTACAAAAACATACCACATATTCCTCTTATTAAGTAAAATTACCTTAGTACAGTTGCTTCGTTTGGGGTCCAGAGGGCCTTGAAGTTACAATTTTTAAATCGTTTTTCTCATATAAATTTAAAACGGCATATGCGATTTTGCTGAAATTTGGTATATTGGTAGAGTTTTATGTGGCAAAAAAATGGTATTAAAATTTTGTCCGATAGTAATACATAGGCGTAGAACTTGATTTTTTAAATAATTGCACCTTTAAAAATTCTACGCCAATGAAAGAAAAGGAGTTTGAGTATGAAATTTAGATTGCGCAACTCATTTACTTTAAAAAACGTACTCTTGATAAGACTCGATTACTCTCATGGTTTTGACGAAATTTGCATTTTAGTAATTTTAGAACATAAACAATAATTATTAAAATACAAACTTTGTCAAAACCATGAGAGTAAATCGAGTGTTATCAAGGGTACTTTTTTATAGTAAATGAGTACCCAATCCAAATTTCATACTCAACCCCCTTTTCTGCCATTGGCGTAGAATTTTTAAAGGTGCAATTATTTAAAAAATCAAGTTCTACGCCTATGTATTATTATCGGACAAAATTTTATACGATGAAAAACATAAAAATGTACTTTTTTCATATCTTCTTCAACACCTCTAATCGAGACTTTTAACAAAAATACTCGATTCTTGTCATGTACGATTTTTTGAGGAATATTAATTATTTGCCTGCAATACGTATACAAAAACATTTATTGTTGGTTTCCATAGTTTCGTCGAAATAAAAATATTGTCAAGTTTTAACACCTAATCTCTTGTTAACGATTGAAAGTGTTCTATCTGACTCAATAATTAAAATAACAAATGCGTGGTTTATTAATATGGCTGTACAATATACCAATGCAGAATATACCGATATGTTACTGACATTAGGATTTTGTGAAGGAAATGCTCGAGAGAGTGTCAGGGTGTACTCTGAAAGGTTTCCAAATCGTCGTGTACCTAGCCACCCAACTTTTGCTGCTGTTGAGAGACGTCTTCGGGAAACCGATTCCTTTGCTCCCAACACTGTTGATAATGGAAGAGAACGTTTTGTAAGGATTCCTGAAGTTGAAGAAGACATTTTAGAACGTGTTGAAGAAGATCCAGAATTAAGCACCAGACGAATTGGAAGGGAACTAGGAGTAAGTAAAGATGTCGTTCATAAAGTGCTTAGAGAACAATTGCTATATCCCTACCATAAGAAGCCAGTACAAGAATTATTAATCTATGATCCTCAAATTCGTTTGGGTTTTTGTCGATTTGTTAATATGCAAAGAGAAAGAGATCCAAACTTTTTCAAGAAGGTTCTCTTTACCGATGAAGCGGGTTTTACAAGAAGAGGTATAACTAATACCCATAATGAACATGTTTATGCCGTTGAAAATCCGCATGCAATAAAGGTAAACCATTTTCAGCACGAATTCAAAATTAATGTGTGGGCTGGAATAATTGGTAATTTCATTGTTGGCCCTGTCATACTTCCACGAAGATTAACTGGAAAAAATTGTTTGGATTTTCTACAAAATACGTTGCCAGAATTGTTAGAAGATTTACCTCTCCAACTTCGGAGAGATATATGGTTTATGCAAGATGGAGCTCCACCACATTTTTCTTTAACCGTTAGAAACCACTTGAATGAACAATATCCACACAAATGGATAGGCAGAGGTAATGACGCACCTGTAAACTGGCCACCACGTTCCCCAGACCTAACACCGATGGATTTATTTTTATGGGGACATCTGAAATCCACAGTTTACAGGGAACCTGTAGAAAATGAGGAACAACTCTGGTAACGTATTCAAGATGCAATAAACAATCTTAGAGGTGATAAAGAAGTTATGGAAAGGATACATTTTAATTTTCTTCGACGTATAAATCTTTGTATGCGTGAAAATGGTGAACATTTTGAACAATTTTTGTAAAATCTCTATTTTGATTATGTTGTAAATAAATATTTTTGTGAAACCTATACACTCTAAATTATTAAAACAGAAATTTAGCGAAAACCATGAGAGTAATCGAGTCTTATCAAGAGTACCCTTTTTAAAGTAAATGAGTTGCGCAATCTAAATTTCATACTCAAACTCCTTTTCTTCCATTGGCGTAGAATTTTTAAAGGTGCAATTATTTAAAAAATCAAGTTCTACGCCTATGTATTATTATCAGACAAAATTTTAATACCATTTTTTTTGCCACATAAAACTCTACAAATATACCAAATTTCAACAAAATCGCATATGCCGTTTTAAATTTATATGGGAAAAACGATTTAAAAATTGTAACTTCAAGGCCATCTGGAGCTCAAACGAAGCAACTTTGTACTAAGGTAATTTTACTTAAATCGACTTATTTTGGTCTAAGGAATATGTGGTATGTTTTTGTAAAGACATTTTACAGACACCCTGTATAATATATAATAATATATAATATATGCGCAGGACTTTAGGACGTGGTGGTAGCTCGTCCAAAGATACGAAAATACGTTTCTTTTAACTTACCCTCTAAAAATTCTACACCACTGGAAAAAGTACGGTTTTGAGACGCCCATTTGAACCGTTAATGTTTTCTACACAAAAAAGTTCAAGAATTTTCCCAATGCAACGTCTATGAGCTATTTGTATAAGACAATAAGATTTCATTGAAACAATTTAATGTTTCAATATTTTTAGAATAAATAAAATCAAATGTTTGTTGAGTTGTTTTTTCAACTACTTTTAAATTAATAAATATAACTACGTATCTGGTAAAGCGTTGTGCTTTCTTTCAATAATTTTAAAGCTACTTTGGCAAAGCTTTGTTGTGCTTTCAACTGAAATAAGTTACTCTATCAAGAGTAAAGCTTTCAATAGTTTCAAACAAACGACAAAGCGTAATGTAATGCTTTCATGCTAACTAAATAAAGGAATGTATCTTTTAAGTTTTTTATACTGGCAGATGCATACGGGTGGACCACCCAATCCTATGGCAAATAAATCTACATCTTAACTTTCATACGAGTTGTGTAGTATTGCGTTATTTTCAATAAAATATTCTGAGTATTTTCCTGTTTTTTGACAAACAACAATAATGATATTATTTACCTGTAGCATTTGAACTGTCAAATTACGATCTGCTTACTGCACATGCGTCAGATATTTATTGAATACAATTGGCAAGATATTATCTTATAGACCCGATAACTCTATTTATGGGTTTGCTAAGGACACATATCTACCAACTGTTTACGAAACTGACCATTAAAAAATAATATTAAAACAAATTTATTTATCACATACATTTAAGTATTTTCATAATAGCCATTTTTAAGACCTACTCAGAAA